ATTTAATCATGTTGAACACATTTGAATTAGGACACATTAGACAAACAAAGTTTAAAACCAGGGGTGCCACACAGGTTCAGGACATAAGATGTCGACCACTTTCACCAAGCAGTCTTGCACAAACTCTCTAACGCTGAACTGCTTACCATGCGTGGCAATTTTGTGAGCTACCCTTTTACTTTACTCCTTTTCATAAGACTTGTGCAGACTGACTGTTGGGCAGATAAGTCTCACTGAAACTGTCCAGCCTTGCTCTCTTCATCCATGAACTCATCATAGGATTTGTGATTGGTCTCAAAATGGTGTAACATTTAACTTCTTGAGAAACGTATTCACCTGTTTTCAGAAAAGGCAAATCGATTTATCTATCCTCCGAGGTCAGATGAAGTCCAGTTTTTCTCAAACTTCATTTTCTCCTCAACCATGCAAGTCCACTAAAACTGCTAACTTTAGCTAACAGCTCAAACACTGATGACTGAACGTAATTCACGTGCAACCTGCAAAGTGCCATTAGTCGCCAAGCAACCAGTAGCTTTCCACAAGTTGTCCTAACCTGACAGACCCTTGTTAGCAGGGTAACGTTTGATCCAGTAGTCGGGTAGTGTATTCAGGGTCCAGTGTGTGAGATTTTGGGAGACATATTGGCAGAAATAGAATATAATAAGTGGGCCTATGTTTTCTTTAGTGTATAATCACCTGTAAATAAGCAATGCTGTGTTTTTGTTACTTTAGAATGAGCCATTTATATCTACATAGAAAGCAAGTTCTTGTCTAAGGAGTCTGCCATGTTGTACCGTCATGTTTCTACAGTAGCCCAGAACAGACAAACCAAACACTGGCTCTTGATAGGGCAGTTTTATTCGGTCCCTTTGTTTTGGAAAGGAGGAGACCTCTTCGGATAATGCAGGTACCGGCGAAAAACCTCCAAAACATCTGTATCAGTAATAAGGTGAGCACACATTAAGTTATCAGAGAAAAGAGGTAAGCACACATTAGCAGGTGCTGGGCGAGCAGCCTGTCTGGACTTGCCAAACAACATAGGAGAAGCAGTGTTTTGACCGATTTTATTCACCTGGTCCATTTGTTTTGGAGGGAAAGAGACCGAGTAAAAAGAGTGAACACTGAAAAAATTCTAAGCAGGAGTTTTATCTGCTTTCAATTTGAAATCCTCACTGCTAGATGCCAATAAATCTCTTGAATCTTACACACTGGACCTTTAAATGCTAAATATATTGAAGGTAAAATTTATGAAAAGGACTGGGGATGATTAAAATATGAGACATGCAATTCATGTCATGTTCTGGGTGCTGCACAAAATATTTCTAAGGAAAGTGATTGGCCTGTGGGTCTCACTTTGAATAACTATGGTTGAAACCAAAATGGATTCAAACAATCAAAAAGCTTGAATTTGAGTGCAGTTGTCTCCCACATTATTGTGCAAATCAGGTTGAGATTTTAAAAGGACCTCTTAAAAAAAAAAAAAAAAAAAAACGTTTTCATATGAAAACAAGGGAAAAAAGCCTGAATTTGCTTGTGTTTAAAGCTTGACATACACAAAACAAGCTCCTTGTGTTAGGTGCTGTGGTGCGACTGATTTTGTGAGCCAATGGAAAGGCTGCCTAATGAGAGCTAATTACATCATGATCCTAATTGATGTGTCAGTCAAAGCTTAAAATTAAGACTGCAGGCGCTCCTCTGCTTTTGTTTCCCCCCTTCAACAGACACACACACAAAAGAACATGCAGTCAGTGTATACTATAATGGAATTACAGCACTGGAAGTTCACAACACTTGGAGGCAAACTAATTTATCAAGTAATGTTAACACCTTTTTAAAATCTTCTGTAAAACTATCCACTATACTCAGGGCTACAAGCCCCTTGATATTTAGCCACACAGGTTCAACTGATTGATACAAGTGTTTTGCATTAAGGCAAATCAAGCGATGTTCTTTTCACCTTTTATACTGCTGCATTCACTTGCTAACTGTTCATGCGGTGAAGAAGGTCTCTGACCAAAAGCTTGCTAATTAAAAAGTTTCTTTGCAATGATTCAAGTGTGCAAATTCTTTTTCCATTTAGTTTGATAGTTTATAGCTCCGGCAACTTAGCACAGCCGAGTCTGATAAAACGTGAGCTGTGTATCTTACTCTGTCTGTCTGTCTGACGCTGTGAAAACTCTGTCTGTGTGTATGTGGGTGTGGGTGTGTCTGTTCCACGTTTTTCTCCTGACTGACTTGGTCAATCCATGTGAAATTTGGCACAGTGGTAGAGGGTCATGGGAGGATGCGAATGAAGCAATATTACATCAATTGGCCAAAGGGGGGCGCTATAGCAACCCATTGAAATTGCAAACTTTGAATGGGCATATCTCATGCCCCGTATGTTGTAGAGACATGAAACTTTGCACAGAGATGCCTCTCCTCATGAGGAACAAATTTGCCTCAAGAACCCATAACTTCCGGTTATATAGATTTTCCGCCATTTTGAATTTTTTGAAAAACACTTAAAATCGATCTCTTCCTAGGAAGTTTGA